GCAGAGCGGAACCCAGATGATAGGAAAAACTAGAAATTAGAAACAATGGTATTACTTGCTGGGTGAAAGCTGGGAACTCCCTGAAGGTTCAGCATGAGGGAGACAATCGTGGAAGATCCCTGTGAACACATACTTTACCCCAAGGCTGCACCATTTTTCCTACGTTTCATTTCTGCTCTTCAAGGGGGTGGCAGTCCCCCCCGATGAACCTTCCCCAGTGCGTGCCTCCTTTTCCCTAGAGCCCCCGGCAGCAGGGGTTGGGGGCGCTGGCCCCGGCTCCGAATTTGCAGCGAGGCCCGGAAATCAGTCCCGTTAGAGCCGATTTCACCCATCAGGAATGCGCTCCGCCCCCGCCGCCTCCCCGAGGCGGCTGCCCTCGGTGTCGCCAGCTTGAGGGGCTGAGGAAGTGCTCGAGGGGAGCGCCGCCTGGGTGCGTCACAACACTGCCCGTCGGCGGCCCTTCCACAGACCGCCGGGGCCAGGACAGGGCTCGGGGCGGATCCCACGCTCCGCCTCCGCCCCCGCAGCCAAGGGGACGCCCGCGCCCGGGCCGGCCGGGGGACGCGGAACCAGCCCGAGGCCTGACCCCTGGCCCCGCGCCGAGCACGAAAGGGGGCGCCTTTCCCTTGGGATTTCCGAATCCATTTCCGTCCCTGGGAGGAGCGGGAGGGCAGCGGCCGTGCCAGAGCGCCCTGGGTCGGAAACGGGAGCCGCCCCTGCCCTCCTGCCCCGGCGCACCCTCCTCCCGAGTCCGCCCGTACCTTCAACTCCTCGGAGCCGCGGCCGGCGCAGGGCTGCGGGCGAGCAGGCCCATCTCTCCGCGGCGGCGGCAGCAGCCTGAGAAGTACGGAGGAGGGTCCTTCAAACCCGCCGAGGAGCCTCTCAGCTGGGGAGCGGGGAACCGAGAGGAGGCGTCCGGACAGCCGCTTTCCCGAACTCCTCCTCCGCACTTCTGTGTTGACGGCTGCTCCCGGGAACCAGCGCCGCAATTGCCATTCTCCCCCTCCCTCAGCCCCCGCAGTCCCCGCCTCCTCCTCCCACTCCTTCCTCCCGCCCCCGGCCCGCCCTGCCCCGCCCCGCCGCCCGCGTGCCGTGCGTCATGGCGTCACGCCCACCGGGCCCGCCGCAGGCGGCTCTGGGACGTGCTCCTTCGCTTATGCGTGTTCGCCCCGCGCTTGCCTAGGAGCGCCGCGCCTGCGAGCCGGGTGGCCCCGAGCGCGGACCCGCTCCCTGTACCCCGCGCGGGGCAGTCTGCGGCCCTTCCTGCCCCCCAGAGTCACCCCGAGCTGTGGAGCAGGTGTCTCCTGCAAAGACGAGCGGGGGTGGTTGAAGCTGCTCTCAAGGTGAAGGGAAAATACTGGACTTGGGGACCTGGCTTTTGGCATTTCGCACGCTATTAATCGTTCCTTTGTATGCTCACGGTTCACTTGCTAGATTGGCAGCCCAGGGGAGAGCAGAGCCGGGATGTTGCAGCGAGTTTCTGCCACTCTTCTCGAGGAAATGTGCTTCCCGGAGAGTGGCGGCGCCCCCACCCACTCGTCCTTTTAGTTTTAATAGACCTCAGTCTTGCGCAGAGGCTCCTAGGAGCAGCTCTTACCCGCAATTTAACACCCTATGTGAGGGTGTTACCATTCTTTTTTTCATTTCTACCCCTTTTTTATTTTCTCCCTTAATTTCACCAAGTCGCTTAAGTATTTAGAATTCATATATCAGTCCTTATTGATAAATTCTGAATTATTTTAATCCAGCGTTACCTGTTCAAGCCCCTCATACCTTTAAGCCAGTCATACCCCGTTCGAATTTTTTAACCTACATATGACTTGGTATCATTTCTTAGTTGAGTAAACGCATTCGTTCCAGATCTGGTCCGTTCCCTTCTAGTTGATTTCTGTTCAAGATTTAGAGTCACTCTTCCTTGGAATACTGAGAAACGGAATGTGATAGATGCTGGACAGAATGTCCATTCGCCATCTGTTACTTAACTAAATATATCGCCCTATCAATCCTTGTTTTAGGTGTGTCTGTCTAATTTAAATTAGAAACCAAGGAGCCATGGTCTTTCAGATCATACTTGGTATCTGGTAATCTAGTAAATGTTTACCAATTAAAAAGCTAAATTAGGCAGTTTAGGTCTAAGTATCTGACCATGAATCATAAAGAAAGTAATAATGGGTGTGTTTATTTTCATTTATTGGAAGTTTTTAAGCTGTTATGTATTCCTTTAAATGCTACTTGAAGGCTTCGGGCAACTTAATCAATGGGATACTTTAAGCCTACAGGTAGAAGAATAGTAAGTTAAATGGCTTTATGGAACAGTACCCATACATAATATAATCCTTGAAAATATATCAACATGTTGAACAACATTTCAGAACAGATGGGGCATTGGCTTGGAAGGAGATTTTGAGTAAAGAGGCTGTGCAGAGTGGGAATGGTTTTGTACTCTGTACAATTGTCATTTTCCAGAGATTGCTTTTCTTGTCTGCCTGAAATCTAGAGGGATTTTCTCTTCTTCATTAGGGCAGCACAAATCTATTAAAAAACAATTATCTATTGGACATCTCCACTTGAATCCCCACAGGCACCTCAAATTTAGCCTATCCAAGTCAGAATTTATCTTTTCTCAAAATGCCTCTCTCATTCACCCAAGCCCAAGCCAGAAATCTAGGATTCTTCCCAGGCACCCTCCTTTCAGTCACTTCCAATTTGTAATTAACCACCAAGTCCTGCTTATTATATGTCGGACACATCCCTGCACTCACTCTCTTCTATATCCCCCCCTTCTGCCTTTAGGGCAGGATTTCAACTTTGGCTGCACATTAGAATCTCCTGTGGAGCTTTTAAAATCCTGATGCCCAGGTTGCATCTGCCAATTAAGTCAGAATCTCTGAGGCTGGCACTCAGGCATCAATAGTTTTTAAAATTCCCCAGATGATTCCAATGCATAGCCAAAGTTGAAAACCACTGCTAAGGCCTCATCATTTCTCATTGGATTACTGAAAAATAATAATAATGCAATATAAAATATTATAGTTATGCAAATAATAAAGGCATAATAATTGGCCACAGGTGCCTTAATTTTGGGGAGCATTCTCTCTTCTTTCCATACTCTCTTCTAATTCAATCAACATCAATTCAATAAATATTTATTGAGTGCATAATTTATTGGGGGAGAGGTTTGCTGTTATAGAAACTGGGAATACAACAATAAAAAAGACAGCCCTTGTATCTGTTCTCATGGAGCTTACATTCTGGGGTGGGCACGGATAAGGGAGGCAGAAAAAACAACACAAAGAAATAAAGAAAAGGAAATAAATTTACCAGAGTAGCATATAGAAACCAGGGAGGCTGTAGGTTTAGTTTGGTTCTCAAACTAACGTCTACTCCTCTGACCTTTGAGCTGTGTTCTACCAGATGAGAAGGAAGCAAACAAGTTAAGGGATGGGGAAGACAAAGGGAACAGCAGGTGCAAAGGAGCAAGACAAACTTGCCAAGTTCAATGCAGTTAGATGCTGAAGCCTAGGGAGTAAAAGGGAGAATGACATGGGGTTAGAGAGGTAGGAGGGAGGTAGATTACTTCAGCCCTCTTAAGGCCAAGATAAGGAGAATTCTAAATGGTTGGTACAGTACGTGATAAGACACCATGGATTTTTTAAAAAAATTTTATTGAGTTAATGATAGGTTACAATCTTGTGAAATTTCAGTTGTACATTATTGTTTGTCAGTTGTGTTGTAGGTGCACCCCTTCACCCTTTGTGCCTGCCCCCCACCCCACCTTTCCCCTGGTAGCCACTAATCTGTTCTCTTTGTCTACTTTATTAAATTCCTCATGTGAGTGGAGTCATACAGAGATTGTCCTTCTCTGTCTGGCTTATTTCACTTAACATAATTCCCTCAAGGTCCATCCGTGTTGTCGCAAGTGGGATGATTTTGTTCTTTTTTATGGCTGAGTAGTATTCCATTGTGTATATATACCACATCTTCTTTATCCAATCATCTGTTGATGGGCACTTAGGTTGCTTCCACATCTTGGCTATTGTAAATAATGCTGCAGTGAACATAGGGGTGCATTGGACTTTTGGAATTGCTGACTTCAAGCTCTTTGGATAGATACCCAGTAGTGGGATAGCTGGGTCATGTGGTAGTTCTGTTTTTAATTTTTTGAGGAATATCCATACTGTTTTCCATAGTGGCTGCACCAGTTTGCATTCCCACCAGCAGTGTATGAGGGTTCCTTTTTCTCCACAACCTCTCCAACATTTGTTACTATTAGTTTTAGATATTTTTGTCATTCTAATGGGTGTAAGGTGATATCTTAGTTTTGATTTGCATTTCCCTCATGATCAGTGATGATGAACATCTTTTCATGTACCTATTGACCATCCATATATCTTCTATGGAGAAATGTCTGTTCATGTCTCCTGCCCATTTTTTGATTGGATTGTTTGATTTTTTGTTGTTGAGTTGTGTGAGTTCTTTATGTATTATGGATATTAAGACTTTATCAGATGTATGACTTGCAAATATTTTTTCCCAGTTAGTGGTTGTTTTTTTGTTTCAATCCTGTTTTCCTTTGCCTTGAAAAGGCTCTTTAGTCTGATGAAGTCGACACCATGAATTTTTGCCAATCTTTTTTTTTTCCTGTTTTATCTCCCTAACCCCCCCGCCCCACCACCACCCCGCCCCGTACATAGTTGTATATCTTAGTTGCAGGTCCTTCTAGTTGTGGACGACATGAATTTTTAAGTGGAGTACTGTCTGATTTACCTTTGAAAAGGATCCCTCCCGGGCCGGCCCCATGGCCAAGTGGTTAAGTTTGCATGCTCCGCTTTGGCAGCTCAGGGTTTCGCCAGTTTGGATCCTGGCTGCGGACATGGCACTGCTCATCAGGCGATCCTGAGGCGGCATCCCACATAGCACAACCAGAGGCATTCACAACTAGAATATACAACTGTGTACTGGGGGGCTTTGAGGAGAAGAAGAAGAAAAGAAAAATAAAAGGAAGATAGGTGACAGATGTTAGCTCAGGTGCCAATCTTTAAAGAAAAGAAAAGGATCACTCTGGTTGCTCTGGGGGTCAGATTGTGGCAGAGCAAGACTAGAAGCAGGGAGACCAGTTAGGAGGCTACTGCAAGAAACTAGGAAAGAAGTCATGATTCTTCGGACCAAGGTAAAGACAGTGAAGACAGAAGAAGATGGTTTTGGTATTTGTTTTAGAGGCAGAATGCTTGGAATGGAGTAAAAGTGGGGAATGAGAGAAAGAGAGCAATGGGGTTACGATAACAGCTATTCTTTATTGAATACATATTACATGACAGGCAGTGTTCTAAGTGCTTTGTAAATATTAAGCCATTTAATTATCATAAAAGTCCCAAAAGGTAGGTGCTATTATTATCCCATTAACAAATTAGGAAATGAGGCTGGAGGGGTTAAGTAATTTGCTCCAAGTTACCTAGCTGAGAAGTGGCAGAGCTGGGATTGGACCACACAGGCAGTCAGCTTCCAGAGTTCGTACTCTTCTCCCACCCCTATCCCAGGCCCCTCTGTTGGTGTCACAGTCAAAGTGAAAATTTCTTCAGCCACACTCAGCTACAGTACCACAAATACCCTCTCCTTTGTCCCTTCCTCTCCTCCTTCTCCTCTTCTCTCTCTCATACACATAAGCATCTATTTTCTTTCTACATGCTCTCTAGAATGCCCCCTCCCCTCTCCTTCTCTGCCCAGCTTAATTTATTAACCTTCACTCGTCCTTACAGACTAAGTCAAATCTTCTCTGGCTCCACAGCAACCTTGTGCTTACCTCTATAATTTTCTCTGTAAAGCATTTCATTATTACTTATAGGTCTTTCTCACTAAACTTTGAAGGCAGGTAGTTTAATGCCCAACACATAAGGGAGAAAGGAAGGAAGCAGGCACAGACACCCAGCCATGCACACATGGCATGCTTTCCCTGGGTATTGGGAGACACAAATATGGTAAAGCATTATCTCTGCCTTCAAGAAGCTGTAAAACTTGGCGGGCAAATAGACACACAGAAAATCACTTTACTACGAGGGCCAAAAGTGTGATAGAAACCACGTTTTATAGGAGCACTGGACAGGACACTGGAGGCAAGAAGCGTGGCCTTAGGTTGCTTCACTGGAAAAAAAAATGCAACCAGGAATGGGAGCTTGGGGCTTTATTCTCCACCATCATTTAATATGGCTTGGGGAGGCAGTCTTGGGACCTCATCCAGGAAAACTTGGGAGATTTTCAGTTGCCACAATTGATTCACTGGAATGTGCTACTTCCTGACTTCTCACTCTTACCTGTCCTTATGTGAATAAGTGTATTGATTCCCAAGTTAGTTCAATTCCCTTCCTGGCAGGGTCATAGAAATTTCTTCTTCTACACTTCCTTCCTTTTTTTCATCTGTGAGGTTTCAGAACGTAGGTTCTAGCTGTAGGACCTTGGGAAAGTTACCAAACTCCTATGGCCCAGTGTGTAAGGCTGTGAAGGTTGTGCCCTGCATTACCACATGGGGTGCCACAGACTTAGACCACACTATGCACAGTGCCCTGTGGGTGTGCTTCACAGAGGCCCTGCTCAACATACCCAGCCATAAAATGGGGGTAAAAATAGGACCTACTCCATTTGGGTTGTTCTCAGGAATAAATGAGAAAATGCAGATACAGCGCTTAGGTTTGGCATGTGGAAAATTATCAGTAAACACCAACTGCTATTACTGGGTAAAGGGAAGCTTGCTGGAGTGGGAGTTTTTCCAGCTAGTATTTTAAAATGGGGTTACATGGGTCCCTGCTTGGGTGGTTCTGTTAATTGTTAGGACCATATAGGGAATCTGGAGAGGAGAGGCCTTTTCTCTTCTAAATTGGGAACCTAAGCCCCTCAATGGAAAAATCCTTCAGGTGGCTGAAGACTGAGCTGCTTTGATCCACCTATCTGCTCTGCTCCATCTCTTATCCCCCACCTTCCACGGGAGAACCAGCACTGTGTTGTCCCCAAAGCTGGCGCAAGGTACCCTTTTTTGTGGGAAAGTTAGACTCCCCCAAAGGCTATCTCAAAGTGTAGGCTAGAACCGCCATTACCGGAATCACCTGGAGTGCTTGTTAAACTAGATTGCTGGGTTTCATCTCAGACTAACAAAATCATTGTCTGTGGGGTTGGGTCCTGGAATCTAGTTTTAATAAACTATTCAGGTAATTCATAGTACATGTTTGAGAACTACAGATTAGGTGCTGCAACCAGTATGATAATATCCCAACTTCAAGTAGTTTTCTTCCACTAGATCTCTCATTAGGTCCTTTAGGAAGCAGGGTACCTCTTTCCTGTTCATGGGACCCATCCAGTCACGTACAACCTGATTCATTCTCCCTCCCACCCATTATCCAGCAGTGACATCTCCTTTAACATGTTCTTTTGGAGACTGGATCCTCAGGTCACCATTACCCGTTACTTATTCCAGTCTTTTTGATTACCTTCCCTCTTTGGCTGACTCATGGACAAGCCTACCCCATGCTGGTGACCTGGGCCAGAAACTCCAAGAGTCCCCTATGACTAGAACCAGTTAGACTCACTCCATGTTGGACAGGATGAGTTTGGCTGACTTGGTCCACAGTGGTGGGCTGCATTGGGAGCAGGATGTAAGTGGGTGATGAGCAAGGACTTAGAATAACCATATGGCCCAGTTTGCTGAGGGCAGTCCTGGCTTATACATGTTGTTGGTGCTTAATTATTAATAGTATCCCCTTTTACTCTCAAAGGGCCCTGGCTTAGACAATAAACTATATGGTCATCCTGGTAATGAGCCTCATGTCAAGACCAACAGTTGCAATGCTTTACCCCTGGATTGTGCCTAGATCACCCACTTCCTAATCTCCCAGCCTCAAATCCCATGCCGTGGCTCCTTCTTCCTCTCAGATTTCCTTAGTGAATTCACTTTGGTATAATACTTTGGGCCCACATTAAGGGATTTATAAGAAAGCATCGTGAAATTTGTTGCTATATTTACTCTTTCTGACAATAACTGGAAAATATATTTTTTTGGTTTTAGCACCTGGTATAATTGTGTTTCCCTTGTTTGTTATCCCCATTTGTTTTTGTCTTCTGGATACCTAATTGTGGAACTGACAGTATTTCCCTTGGCTATGAGAAAGCTTAGAGCCATATATGTGGCTTTCTTCCGGCCTGTGTGTAAGATTGAACAGGATGTACTTTATATACTTAACTCACTTCCAACTTTAATCCTCTGTTTCGATTTCTTCACTAACTTTAGACTGAATTTTTCTGGTGCTATCTTATGTATATCTGTAAACCATCTTTTATCCTTTTTGAAACAAGGCAGGTATAAAAAAATGTGTATGAACACATGCCCACAAACAAACTGGTACTGCTTCTAGTTATGTAACTGAAAGGGATTATTTTTAAAAGTACACGAATACTTTCCTCACTTACAGAAGATAATATTAACAAATGAATAGCACTTTAAGTAATGCTGGATTTAGCATTCTTCAACTACATTATTATCTAGAAAGTGAAAAGATTCCAAACAAAAGAAAACAAAAGATTAGATTAATTTGCAAGCTGAAATATTTTTAGCTATGACCCAGAACCTTATACCAAATAATGCAATGAAAAATGCTCACTACCGAAACTGCATAGCCTAATTAGATAGCATTCAGGGGTGTTTACCTTCACAACAAAATTTCGTGCTGTTGGAGATGAAAAAAGGAGAGGAAGGGGGATGGTCAGGGAATCAGATTTGGGAATGTACAGTCCAGATTATAATGATGACCTATGAGGAGGAGGGTTTGGCCAGAAGCTTGTGGCTTATACCAGTCTCCAGACAACTGTTCTTCCTGCTGGCCTTGATAATATTGCAGGAGTCTGGGTAGCTGGCACCCTGCAGTTTGCAGCTAACATAAAACCGCAGAATGAAATTCATCTTAATGAAATTACTGAGGAATACATTTTACAACTAATTTATTTTGGAGTTTGCACCGAATTTACAAGACTCAAAGCTAGATATTCTATGTGTACTGAGTTATTTTATGGATAACTTGGGCATCTAGTTAAATCTGCTTTAAAAAAATTTTACCCTAAAATCATGGAGATCATGCTCTATATAGTGATTTCTGCCCTTTTCCAGCATGAATATACCTATTTATCTTCCTTAAGATGGAAGCATTGTAAAAAATACAAAAAGTTTCAGAGAATAAGGTAAGAAACCCATGTAGCTCCTAAAAGAACACATGTTAACATTTTCTCACATTTGTATTATTTTTCAAAGCAAAATAAATGAGACATTAGACAGTAGAAGCCTACTTTGTACCTTTCCCCAGTCCCATTCCTTTCCTCCCAAGGCACCTATTATCCTGAAAGTTTACCATTCTGGTTCACACTTTTATCCTTTTACTACAGAAGTGCATATTCACAAATAACATATTCTATTTTATGTTCTAAACATAGTTTTTACTAAACAAAATTTTTACATAAATGATATTGTACTGAATGGTATCATTCCACAACTTTTTTTTTCTTCTCAACATTGTTTTCAAGATCTACCCATGTTAATACATGGAAATCTACTTCATTCATTTTAACTGCTATGTAAATGAGCATTCTTATACATGTCTCTTTTTGCACATTGGGGATAGTTTCTCTAGGGTATATACCTAGCAACAGAATTACTGAAGACACTCTTTACAGGTTGAAAAACATTATAACCCCTTTTGTGGCCCCCCTCTGCTCTGATTATACTTGTAGGTGTTAGTGTTCAATGGGTGAGAAAACACATGTGTGCATTTGGATTCTCAGAGCCCTTCCGGTAAAAGGTCTAATATTATTAATAGAGGGAGATGAAGGCTCGTAGATCAAGGTCCCGTTACACTTGTTTCTTCATCTTTATGATGAGGATAATAAAAATAACTCCTTAGAGTTTCTGTGAGAATTAGATGAAATAATAAGTGTAAAGCATTTAGCATTGTGCCTGGCACTTAGTAATAGCTCAGTAAATATTAGCTATTATCAATAATGGTATTTTAAGATGAGTGGATATTGGATTCAGTGGCTTTTATTTGAAGACAGTGTACCATAGAAAGATACAATTTTAAGGAAGGAAGAAAATTTTATTCCTCCCTGTAATATCATTTTTGGAAGTTTTATCTTTATGTTTTTCTTTTCCTTTCAAATTGTGTTTAATATTTTTGGCAGAATCTCAGCACTGAAACAGTAAGATAGAAAACATTTAAGCAGGGAGAAAACAGCAGGGAGAGGCAACTAAGTAGAAACTAACCCGTGCTGGAAGTGGACAGCCTGTTTTTGCAGGTGCCATCTTTCACCTTTCTTTTCCGCCATCCATTCTGTTCAATGGAGTTGTCACTTTAGCTCCATGTATGCTAGCCAGGAAACTCATCAGCAATTACCAAAACCAATTCTGTTTATAGTATGGTTCGAATCTTAAAAATCCCATCTACCTTTGCCAGGGGAATCCCATTAGAAATGTGTTAGGAGAAGACATATTTAAATAGTTATTTCCTAGCAAATGTGGTCAGAATCCCAAATGGCTAATTGGAAGTCTGTGTGATATGAAAAGATGGACAAGAGATGACATGTAATACTTGAATGCATCAACTGATATTTACAGCTAGCAGGGAGAATTTAGGACCCTTTGTTAACTTGTTGAAATTCATACTTAGGAGTTTTCAAAAGAAAAATCACAAGTTTGGAGATAAAATGACTGTGCCAAGCCAACATTCCTATCAAAGATCAAAGAGAATAAGATTTTAAAATAGCTGGATAACTAAGCAAAGGAGAAAAATATCTGAAGTCTCAGGGCCAGAGATTTGAATTCAATTTCAAATTGTTTCTAGGGGTTTTATATCCTGTGATAAAAGCAAGCTTTTAAACAGTAAATTTCAAGGACAGGAGGGGAAAACTTAATAATTACCATAATGCTTTGATTCTGAGATGGCTTTGTTCAAAGATAAATTCCCATAAACTAATGTTGTGTTATAATTTATTTTTTACCAATAAAAGGTAGGTGTCCAATCCAGATTTTGTACATTGTTGGTTCCATACATCACATGAGCTCTCTTAAATTATCTTTTCTGTGTTTCAGTGTTGAATAGAAGAGGAATAATGTAGTAGCAAGCATTTTGGAATTTAGAAACAATACTTGAGACGTTCTATTTTCAGAAGTACATGTATTTTCAGAAGTACAAATCCACAACCCAATCAAATTCAAGGACTTGGATGAGTAAAGTAGATGATCAGTCACAAAGAGGTATTTCTTTTTTTTCTCCTTAATATTTTACTGATTTGTAGACCCAATATGAAAAAGAGTGTAGAATTTTTGTTTTCCTTTAAAATGAACAATGGATTCCCTTGAAATATGACATTTTGAAGACTTAGGAAATCTGGAGGAGAGTGGAAGTTCCTTTCATTCTCTTCTCTTTCCAATCCCCACTCCCACCTCACTTCCATCACAGTGAGTCATTGTTTTCTCTTAATTAGGCTCCTAATGTACCTTTGCATTGAATTTTCACAAGTGAAGAATTTCCATCCTGCTAAACCTAAATATATGAGTATATGTATTTGCAGAATAAACAGAATGAAACAATTTGAAATAAATAAAATAAAAAGAATAAGACATTTCAACAGAGGAGATAAGAAAATTAATTCAAAAACTTTATCTTTTAAATAGAAAATCCTAGAAGAGAAAATACATTTGATACTGAAGGCAAAGAAATCAAAAGGCTGGACAGTCTTAGCAGAGGGTTTGAATTTTGGGTCTTCCAAGGAGGAAAACACACAGTAATTCTGGATTTTGACTTCCTATATGGTACCTGCTAATTTGTCCCTTTGTTTGACCTGACCAGTCCCATGGTCTTTGATTCTGGTCAAACCTGTCATCCCTAGGCCCTTTCCTTTTAGTAACTAACCTTTGGACAAGATGCCTATATCCAGGAATTTGGTTCTAGTTCTCTGCTCTCAGCACCTCCAAATCTCCACCCTGTCTCCTGGGTCTTCAAGCCCAGTATCTACCAGATCTTTGCCCCATCTAACAGCACAAAAGACAGAACACAACTCAACTAACTGATAGATCTGCCAATCATTGTTATTAACCTCAATATTGCAGAAAATATCTGGGGATTTTTATGATGGAATGTGTATTGTGCATTTTATCATACACACACATCCAAATATTTACATACATTTATACACACATAAAAATCAGAATAGCTCATAATTTTAATAGACATAACACATGTCAGTCATGTCTTTAATTTCCTTCTTTCTCTTCTCCAGTTTTTACTCATTTAAGTAACAAACTGGGCTACAAGAGAAAACAAATCAGACACGGTTTGTGTCTGAACACTCAGAATTTAGAGTAAAAATCTGGGTTGGATGCTTAGCCTTATTACAAAGCTATATGCTACATTGGTGTTTTAAACGGCTGTTTGCCTGAAGCCCTCAGAAGGACTTGTAATCTCATGACCTTGACAGTCTATTGCTGCTTTCAGTCTGTTTTCATCCTTGACCCCATTTCCAGTCTGGCCTCCATTGCCCTCACAAGCATACTAGACTCCTTTTTCATTCCACTGTCTTGGCCATGCCAATTCGCATCTGTCTGCTTTTCTGTTCTTGCTTCTGAACTTCAGAAAAATGCTGATTCACTTTAAATACATACCACCTAACCTCAAAATAGCAACCTTATTATTCATTTCTTGTCGATTCCTAACATAGCTATTTCCAGAATTTCCCACTCTTCTAAGTCCCTAGTGCCCACACTCTTCCATTCATTTTATTCAACATATACTCATTGAGAATCAACAATATGCCATGCACTGTCCTAGGTAGTGGGTATAATAGGAGGGGACAAAACAGATCCAGTCCCTGCCCTAACAAATCTTACAGTCTAGTGAGGGAAACAGAGGTACTTCCCAACCCTCCTGCTCCCCTGGAAACATCCAAGCCTTTGGGGAAGCATCGACACTTAATCTTCCCTTTCTCTGTGTTGTCTCTCTCCGCCTCTTCTTTAAGTCTCTCTGCCTTTCCTCCTCTCTCAGAGGAAGAGCCAATCTTATTTCCTTTCCCATGAGCTCTTGAATTCATTCCCTTTTTCCCTCTTCCAAGACTTTACTCTTTATGGTTCTAAATATTTCTTATCCTGAAATAAATGATATTTATCTTAAACACTTTAAACAGTTTTATAAAATACAAAGCTGTATTTTTACTTTCTTTGATGAAAGAAATACTGAGTACATTTGCTAATATCTTCAAATTCAGAATTGGCAGAGTTTCTTTGAGTGCTATCTTATATTTTTGCCTTTTGAAATCTGTATTCTGTCCCAAAATAATCAGCATAGGAGCCAATGGATTGACATTCTTGGATCTGGTCTAAACATTCTAATGAACAGTTCCTCACCAGATATGTCAGCACTACTTCTTTTTAAATGATTTTACTTGGGTTGACTTCCAGGTACTTTCTATTTTGCTATGAAAAAGTCCCACACATCAGGCGTGGTTTTTTAGTTTTTAATCTTAAATTGGCTAACAAATACAAAGAAAAATTATTTTTATTTTCTGATATACTAATTTTGGATTGGTAAGGAGGGTTTCAGTATCTAGGAATTCTTACAAAATTTCCCGTTAGATTTAGTAATTAATTATTATACACTATTTACTGTATTGATTCTTGAAAACCTCTCTCCTATAGGTGATATCATCCACTACTTTATTGTGGTCATAACCTGGAAAATTCTGAGTGTATTGTCCCTTGATTCCAGTGTCTTATTTTTCAGAAAGAGGGTGTTAGAAATTTCCCTTTAGGAAAACATCTGGTTCCTCTTTTTCTTAAAAATTTTTTTTCTTCTTCTTCCCAAAACCCCCCAGTACATAGTTGTATATTCTTAGTTGTGGGTCCTTCTAGTTGTGGCATGTGGGACGCTGCCTCAGCATGGCCTGATGAGCGGTGCCATGTCCATGTCCAGGATGTGACCTGGTGAAACCCTGGGCTGCTGAAGCAGAGCGTGTGAACCCAACCATTCAGCCACAGTGCCAGCTCCTGGTTCCTCTTTTTAAAATAGTACAAAAAGGGCACACACAAAACAAGTTTGGAAGGTGATGAGAGCATCACTCATGGTTTTGCTTCACCATTACTTTTCAAGCCAGCATTTCTTCTTCAAGGACACTGAATATGTAAGCAAGACGCACAAATATATCATCTCTTTATTGCTGTTGACACAATATGACAATGAACTATTACAGAGATTTGTGGGAAAACTAAAAAATAAATCCTGGCAAACAGGTAGGCCCTTCAAATGTTTGAGATAAGAGTCCTACCCTATAGTGAGAGTCTGAGACCTCAGTCCTTCTTTAAGGGTGACTGCCTTTGGTCTTGAATGCCTGTATTACGGGAGACAGGATGAAAAGGCAGTTGGCATCTACCCCTGGCACAATGTACCTCCCTTCTTTGGGTCAGGGAAGAGGCTCCCTTTGACCACACCCTCAGTATCCCAGTTGCACATTTTATCTAATTATCATAATTGGTACTTTTCCAAAGTCTCAAGTAATTAGGACCTTTCAATGTGGAAACAGGCTCATAGCTGATAGGAGGGTAGTGTTGAGGCTGAGAGAATACTGGAAATGAGTTGAAGCAAAGGAGATAGCCCTTATCCAGGAGAGGTCAGCAGTCAGAATCATCAAGTCTAAGGGACAAGGTGAATTTTAGTTCACTTTGGAGTGTGTCTATATGCAAAGGGTCTAGTTAAGGCCTGGGGTGATGTGTAGGAGAAGGCTTCTAGGTATTAGCATCTTAAGACAGCAAGTGGGTGTGCAAATGTTACATCAGGAAGGCCCTTCTCAATTCTGGATGCAGATGTATAGCCCGTGAAAAGGATCTTCTCAGAACCAGCTGAGGGGGTCATAAGGGAATCAGGACCCTAGATGACACAGCTAAAGTACAGAGGGCTTCAGTTCCAGTAGAGATGTGAGGTGGGAGACATCTAGGAATTTGGGCCTTGAGTCAAAGTCTCATTTAGACACTTTGGCCACATGGCGATGGTTAGTTAGGGCTGTGACAACTCTGCCCTAAAGCACAGGCCAGATGTGACTAATTCCAAATCCCTCTGGAGCTGTCCCGGCTGCTACCCTTTCATTGGCTGTAGCAGAGGGGTGGAAGCCTGCTGGCACCAGTGTCTGCTCATCCAGAACAGCTGGCACAAAGCTAAAGTAGGGGCAAAGGTTGGCCAAGACTGAAATCATAGGTCAAAGCTCATCATGTAATACACACACACACACACACATACACAGACACACATGCACAAGCTAGGAGCTAGAAAGTCTGCCCACTTAGTGGTGCAACATATGACCAAGGCATTAGCAGGAATACAAACCAGATTTTCAGGAGTCAGACATGAGAGTTGGCCCATCTGTAAGCCAAAAGACCAGTTGGGTTAATGGAACGCCAGAGGGTTCCCTTCTTTGGCAGCAAGGTCTACAGGTCTTATGCCACCTGGTTATAAAGGGTCACATTTTGGCAGGGCAAGCAACAGGATGGAGTCTGAAAGAAATAACAAGAAGAGATTTAAAAGAAAAAAATTAGGAAGTTCCATTCTTTTAACTCAAAAAAAGAAAAAAGAAAGAAAGAAAGAAAGAAAGAAAGAAAAACCCCCCAAAACCAAAAACAAAACCACTGGCATAATTTCAAAAGGCTTAGCTTGGCAACCATTCATGAGAAAATGGACCTGGGGATTTTGTTGGTAACAAGCTCCAAATGAGTAAGTTGTGATACAGTGTTGCAAAAAAAGCCAATGAAATCTTGAGTTACATTAGCAAAGTATAGTGTCCAGATAAAGGCAGGCAGTCGTCCCACTGAGCTCGGCAGTGGTCAGGCCTCATCTGGAGGCTTATATTTAACCATCTTTTAAAGAGAGACACATATAACCCAGCATGAATCCAGAGAAAGACAGTTAGGCTGTAGAAAAATCTGGAAACCATGTCACCTGATGTGTGGTCAAAAGAACTGGTTGTGCTTGGCTGAAAGAGAAAAGACTAGGGCAGGATTGTGTCTTCTAGCACTTAAAGGATCATCTGATGAAGGGAGTAGCCTCTAGGTTTGAAAAGCAGAATTTTAAAGAATCAAACTTGTTTGACAATAAAATTAAATGCTTTCTGAAATCGTGAACTATCCATTACTGAATATGTTCAAGTAGAGTTTAAATGGTCCTGTTAGGGATCGTAATTTGTGTGTGTGCAGTGGGGAGGGGAGGCTCACATAAG